GCCTGCTCGAGGCAAGTGTGCCCCCCATCTTAGATCCTCGATGCCTCACGGGGCCCGCAGATCCCCGCTTCCCTGGGTAAATCAGAGGATGCGAAGCGCATTGCGCAGAATCCTCACGGAGTCACTGAGTAACGACGTCTGGAGACTTGTAAGTTCTACAGAGCATGCAAATATGCAGAACATGTAAGAATGTTTACCTTTTGCGTGCCCGCTCGAGGACGGTGCGTCCTCCGCGCAGAATTCTCGGGGCTGTCTCGAGCGAAGCGCCTGTTTTGCAGAACTCGAGGGGCCTGGGCGCCCCAGGATGCCTAAGCGGTTCTGGGAGTGCGGTCGCACCGTTATTCATATTTTGAGAGCGTAAGAAAACATAATAGGAACCAACGATCATCCAAAGAAAGCTCATGATAGAGAAACCAATTTGGCAGAGATAGCCTTTAGAACAAATGCGCTCCTAGGGTGTTGTCCAGGATCACGCCCGCGTGGAGGACGACGTGCATCGCGATCCCATCGTGGTCATGGGAGCGCCGCCGTGGCATAATTTACAACGGGATCGTGGCCATGGGAGCGCGGACCCACCGTGATTTACAGGGGATCCTGGCCCCGGGGGTGCGGACGCAGCGCAGTTTACATATGATCCTGGCCCCGGAAGCACGGACGCACCGTGATCTGCAGAGGGTCGTGGCCTGGGGGGGGGGGGGCGGATGCCGCGAAATTCGCAGGGGATCGTGGCCCTGGGAGCGCAGGCGCAGACACGTCTGGCGCAGCCTAATTTGCCAGAGGTCCTGGCCCTGAAGGCGCGGGCGCACCGTGACTCGCGAAAGATGATGGCCCCTGCGGGGGCGGACGCGTCCTGCTTTACCAGGGACCGTGGGAGCGCGGACGCAGCGCAGTGTACAGGGGATCGTCGCCCTGGGAGCGCGGATGCCGCGTAATTCACGGGGGATCCCGGCAGTGTGATTTGCAGAGGATCTTGGCACCGTGGGGGCTGACACCGCGTGGTCTTCGAGGGACGCGCTGGCACAGCGTAGATTTCCAGGGATCCTGGCCCCGGGAGCGCCCATGCCGCGTACTTCGCACGAGGGGTCGTTGCCTCGGGAGCGCGGACGCAGCTCGCGCTTTCGGGCCCAGCGCCGCATGTTCAGGGCACGGCGGCGGTCCCGAAACGCGCCACCCGAATGCATGCTCCAATTCCGACAAGCACTGTTGTCTGCTCTGGGGAGGGGGGGCTCTTCTGGGCAACTTCCGCGGACTGCTTCGTGGCCCTGGGGACGCGGACGCAGCGTAATTTACGAGTGATCTTGGCCCTGGGAGCGCGGACGCAGCATAACTCACGAGGGATCGTGACCTTCGGGCGCGGTCCCTGGCACGTTCCTTGGCGCTTCTCCTGGGTACGTCGCAAGGCGCGTCCCCTGGAACGTTCCTTGGCATATCCCCTGGCACGTCCACTGGCACGTTTCGTCGCGCGTCCCCCTGGCACGTTCCGTGGCGCGTCTCCCTGTGATATAGCGCGGCGAGTCCCCTGGCGCGTCCCGTGGCGCGTCCCCTGGCATGTCACTGTACGGCGCGGCACGTCGCAGAGAAGCACAACACAGCCCCTGGCATAGTAGCATCACCATGCATACATGGCAAGTTCCCTGAGGCCTCCCCTGGGCACGTCGCGCGGCGCGTCCGCTGGGCACGTTCCCTGGCGCGTCCCTTGGCAAGTCCGCTGGCACTTTCCGTGGCGCGTCCCCCTGGTACGCCCCCCTGGCACATCGCGCGGCGCGCTGGCAGGTCCACTGGAAAATTCACTGGCACGTCCAGTGGCGCGTCCCCAGGCATGTCACTGTACGGTGCGGCACAGCGCAGAGAAGCACAACACAGCCCCTGGCACAGTAGCATCATTATTGGTATCTTCAGCCTTGCCACTTCCCATCGCCAAATTGAGGTGCTTGGAAGCGTCTCCAGGCCTCGCAGTTGAACTTTCAACTTCAAAACTCGAAGTTGACGCCCCAGCGTTTACAAATTATCCCGACGAAAGACTCATTTATTAGCAGTTGTGGATACCGCGTTCTGGGTCCATCTTTCGACGGGCCTCCCTATGGGACCACGAACCGTGGATGCAATGGATGCAAAGGGGCTCCCTGTGGGGCCACGAACCGGTGCCGGAATGGACGTGCGTTGGGCGGGGAGGACGCGTGTGGACTGTGCCTCTGGTGCCTTCGGTGGAGCTCCCTATAAGGCCGCGAACCGAGTGAGGGGTGTGCCGAAATGGACGTGCGCTGGGCGGGGAGGGCGCATGCGGACGCGGCCAGTGGGGCTTTCGGTGGAGCTCCATATGGGGCCACGAACCGTGTGAGGGGTGTGCCAGCCAGAATGGGCATGCGGTGGGCGGGGAGGACGCATGCGGACGCGGCCATTGGGGCCCTCGGTGGAGCTCCCCATGGGGCCACGAACCGTGTGAGGGGTGTGCCAGAATGGACATGCGGTGGGTGGGGAGGACGCATGCGGACGCGGCCGCTGGGGCCTTCGGTTGAGCTCCCTATGGGGCCACGAACCGTGTGAGTGGTGTGCCGAAATGGACGTGCGGAGGGTAGAGGCAAGGCGGGGGAGGAGGGAGGAGGGGGAGGATGACGAGGAGGAGGAGAGGGGCAGCGGGAGGAAGAGGAACGTGGGGCGCTGTCTTTTCAAAACGAGGACCCGACACGGGATGGGCGTGAACAACAACAGTGGGGAGGACTGGGGGAGGGACAAGGATCAAGACGAGGGGGGAGAGGTGAGTAGTGATGGTGCTGGTGATGGTGATGGTGATGATGATGCTGATTTTGATGTTGTTTATGATGATGATGATGATAGTGATGATGATGATGATGATGATGATGATGATGATGATGCTGATGCTGATGCTGATGCTGATGATGATGATGATGATGATGATGATGATGGTGGCGATGGTGGTGACGGTAATGATGATGGTGATGGTGATGGTGATGGTGATTGTGATGGTGAGGTTGACGATGCTGATGAATATGATGCTGATGACGATGCCGATACCTATGGTGATGGTGATGATGCTGATGGTGATTATGCTGATGATTGATGGTGATAGTGGTGGTGATGGTGATGGTGATGGTGATGATGCTGCTGATGATGATCATGATGTTGACGATGGTGATGCATACTATGATTATGCTGATGATGTTGATGATGCGGATGCTGATGCATGATGTCGCTGATGATGGATATGATGATGACGATGATGGTTATGGTGGTGGTGGTGGTGGTGGTGGTGGTGCGATGTTGATGTTGATGATGTTGTTGATGATGCTATTGACGTTGATGGCGGTGATGCCGATGAAGGTAATGTGGTTGGTGATGTGGATGTGTATTAGATTCTTGATTAGGAAAATGAGGATCTTAGTGTTGCTGCTGCTGCTGCTGATGATATGCATGATGGTGGTGGATGATGGTGGCGACGAAGATGATGATGCTGATGATGAGTTTGATGACGGTGATGGTGATGGTGATGATGATGACGATAGCATGGGTCATGATGATGGTGGTGGCGGGGTGGTGGTAATGATAGCGGTGGTAGTGGTGATGGGGATGATGACGGCTGTGGTGGTGGTGATGATGGTGGTGATGATTTGATGATGAGGTTGATGATGATGATGAAGACCACGATGATTGTGATGATGATGATGATGATGATGATGATGATGATGCTCATGATGCTGCCACCGATGACAATGACGATGACGATGACGATTATGATGATAAAGCTGACGATGATGGTAATGATGCTGATGACGATGCTGATACTGATGATGTGACGATGACGATGCCGATTATGCTGATGATGACGATACTGATGATGATGCTGACGACGATGATGATGATGATGATGATGATGATGATGATGATGGTGATGGTGCTGCTGATGATGATGATGATGATGATGATGATGATGACGATACTGATGATGATGACGATGATGCTGATTATGATGATGATTATGATTATGATGATGATGATGCTGATAATGCTGAGGATGATGCTGATGATGCTGAGGATGATGATGATGATGATGATGATGATGATGATGATGATGATGATGATGTGGATGATGATGATGATGAGGATGATGATGATGATGATGATGATGATGATGCTGATGATGGTGATGATGATGATGATGACGATGATGGTGATAATGATGTTTATTTGTGTGCTGCTTATCATGATGCTGATGAGGCTGATGATGATGCTGCTGCTGCTGATGACGATGATGATGATGATGATGAGGATGATGATGATGATGATGATGATGATGATGATGATGATGATGATGATGATGGTGACGATGGTGATGATGCTGCTGCTGCTGATGATGACGATGATGGTTGTGATGGTGCTGGTTATGATGGTGATTGTGTTGATGATGATGGAAAGGGAGAGGTGAAGGGAGTGGGAGAGAAAGGAGGAGGGAGGTGGGATGAGGGAGGAGGGAGGTTGAAGGAGGCGAAGCAGGAGTGAGAGAGTGAGGGAGGGAGGAGGAGGTGTAGGAGGAGGTGGTGGAGGAGGAGAGGGAGGAGGAGGATGAGGAGGAGGCTGAGGAGGAGGATGCTGATGATGATGATGATGATGATGATGATGATGATGATGATGATGATGATGATGATGATGATGATGATGATGATGATGATGATGATGATGTCGTAAGGAGGAGGAGGAGGAGGAGGAGGAGGAGGAGGAGGAGGAGGAGGAGGAGGAGGAGGAGGAGGAGAGGAGGAGGTGGAAGAGCAGGAGGAGCAGGAGGAGAAGGAGGAGAAGGAGGAGGAGGAGGATGAGGAGGAGAGGAGGAGGAGGAGGAGGATGTGGAAGAGCAGGAGGAGCAGGAGGAGGAGAGGAGGAGGAGGAGGAGGAGGAGGAGGAGGAGGAGGAGGAGGAGGAGGAGGAGGAGGAGGAGGAGGAGGTATCGAGGAGGAGCATCCGCCCCGCCGCTCCCCGCCCGAGGCAGCATGGCGGAGGGCTGGGAGGACGCCCGCCGCGCGGGCGCCGCCGCTGGCTCCTCCCGCGGCCTCTCCGCGCCTCGGCCCCCCGGGCGCCCTCGTCGCTCTCCGCGGCCGCCTCCCTCTTTCTCGCCCCCTTCGGGTCGCCCCCCTCCCAGGGGGGCAAGAGGCACACAGACACAATTCATCGTCGATTCCCCAGAACACATGGGAACATATGGGAAGTGGGGGGGGAAGGCAAGAACCCCGGAAACATGGGGAAATATGGGGAATCCTGTTCTTTGTGTGTATTGATGTGTGTGTCCCAGGGCCCCTTCACTCTCCTCTCCTCACCTCTCTTCTCTCCTCCCTCTCCTCACCTCTCCTCACCTCTCTTCTCTCTCCTCTCCTCTCCTCTCCTCTCCTCTCCTCTCCTCTCCTCTCCTCTCCTCTCCCCTCCCGTTGCGGTGCCCCCTCCCACGGGCACGAGCAGCCCAGCTGTACGACATATACATACCAGCACGCTGCCGTGCACGTCCGGCTCCTGCAGGCTCCTACGGGCACACTAGGTACCAGTGCGACAGGCCTCGGAACAAGAATAGCGAACACTCATGCCACATTCATCTGTGAACGCCTCCCCCTCTCCCAAATGTTCAAAGTTGGCGGTGGGTCTGATGAGTTGCACCTCGACCGCAGTCTCCCCCGAGCGTGCCAACTTTGAGTTTTGGGGGGCAGGGGGGGTGTTCACTAATTGTTTCCCTCTACGGGAGCATTTGATGAACGATGATTGCATCGACGTGGTAGGCGACGAGGTCCCCAAGAAGCTCCGGAAGCATCGCGAGGCCCTCCAGAAGTCTTGTAGATATTCTAGGAGTGCTCCAGCCTGACACGGTAAAGCTGACTTATGGGCTCCCCAGTAGGTCTCCAAGCTTCCCGCTATCAAGCTATCCACCATAGCAGCTATCCACCATACCCCCCCAGATCGTACACTTTTCTCTGCCAGCTTTCCCTTCCCCACAACTTGCGATGGCTGGTACAAGCTCGCGGGCGGCAGGAACACCAGGTCGAGGAGTGCTTGAAAGCGACGTTCGTCAACGTCTGTTGAGCCCGCTCCACGAGATGGATGATTTCGACTCCCTCGGCCCTGCATCTCGACCGGGGGTGCACGCGATGGTAACTCCTACAACTCCGCCAGATGCACATCCACCAACGGGGGGGCCCGAACAGTAGGAACAACAGGGACAACATGCAAATCCGCCCACCCTTGGGCAACTCGCTAACCTGTTCCGAAGGGAGGGGCAACCGATCCACAACACCATCGATAATCTCGAGCGGCGCCTGACAGAGATGAACAGGACCATCGACACCAGGATAGATGGAGTCCAGGAGCACATCGAAGATCAGGACATTCGCCATACGAACCTGGAGACCAGCGCTGAACAGGCCGACGCCCGTACACCCCCCCGCAGCATCGATACCGCCATTTGGGACCACATCAAGACGCTCGAGATCGAGGTCTCGCAGTTGCGGGAGAACGGCCAGCACATCAACAAACACCATGATAATAACAAGGGGGCTGCGGCAATGGTCGGCGGGCTACGCTCTTTTTCTATCCTTGGGGAGACAAAGAATCTCTGGGACTTGTGCTTTGTACTCCCCGCAGCCGGAAGAGATCTACGTCAATGGGGGAATTCCGAGGCATCGTTTGTTTGTTTTTGTTTTTCATATCATGTGTTTCTCCCCCGAAGTTTCTCGGTAAACTTGCTCTGGACACCGCAATCGACTCTTTCCGGAAAGCGGCCTTCAAAGAGAGGGGGACCGCAGTTTGGGCAAAGGAGGATAAGGACTTGCCAACCCTGGTATTGACCTATTGTGTCTTCGGATCAAAACATATTCTCAAACAGTGGGGATGCGCTAGCGGGAGCGTCTGGGCCTACCCAGAGGAAGGCCACGTCTGGGTGGGCAATGACGTCGCCGTCTGGGTGTCCATCGAGAACGGGACTTCGAAGGTGCAGTATGGGCCTGGGTGGGGGGATTGGTTGGCCCAGGCGGAGTTCCCAGATTTCGCTGGCAAAATCAAAATTCGATCCGAGACGTTGGCACAATTCCCCATGAAAAAGTATCGGCGACAACGGGGCGAAAAGGGAAACATACAGGCAAGGCTACCAGCAAAGGCAAGGGCAGCATGGGCAAATAAGGGGGCACGCGGTACGTGAACAGGGATATTTCACCCAGGAGTCGCAGTGGATCTTTGTCAAAGTGCTGGGGTCCACAGTTGAGTTTCATATCTTGTGCAGCTCAAGGGCAGCAGCATGGCAGAGGCCCATTGTCATTGTGCGAGCTTCGAGGCCGTCGTTTATGGCCTCTCCGACATGGCGGATTCACAGTTGCAAGTTGGAACGTAGAAGGGTATACAGCAACAAAGCAGATGGGCACTGAAATAGTGATGACATGTGATGGCATCAAATCCTTTGCGCTCCAGAGACGTGGAGATTATATTCGGACATATCATGCCATCATGTCATCATGTCGGGGGAAGCAGAGGACGCGGAGGAGAGGACAAGGTAGGGGCTTGTTTCGTCGTGAACCCCAACTTGAGACAATCAATTGCTGGATGTTGCCAGTATTCGAGCCGGATGTCTTCGCTAAAGATCCGCGTTTCAGGCGGTAAGGCTGTATTTGTTTTCGGCATGCGCGCCTCATGGTGGATATGATTGCCCAACGCGGCAAGGTTTCTTCAATGACCTCGGAGACTTCATTGCGTCACGCTCTGCACATGGGCCTGAATAGCTAATGGGAGATTTAAATTCTAGGCTGCGCGGCAAGTTGGATGACGAAGGGCGTGCAATCGGACCCATGTCTGTGTTCGCCGGGGCTGCGCATGCAAGCCCGATGCGAACGTGCACTTGTCTGTGGAGGCATGCGCTCAGCTACGCATGTGTCTTGCGAGCATTTTCGTCTCATTGCCGCCGCGCTAGTTGGCCGCGTGCTACCGCCTCGGCTGCCAAGCTGGACCATATATATATATATATATATATGTATATACATATACATATATATAGGCGCGCGCATTCTCATTCGACGTCTTCGCTTGTCATCAGAGGTGATTGGACAATGCGCTCTGCGTGAGTGCGTGTCCTTTTGCCCCGTAGTCTTTGCGCCACCTTTTTTTCTGAGAGTCCAGGTCCAGATCGCAGTGGGCGAGATTTTGCCGGCCGCGCAGAATTCTAGACCATATGCGTGCACTTTGATGAAGGATAATAGAAGGCACCGCTTCACTTCTCTGTTGGCTGAGTCTTTGGGGGACTTCGCAGACTCTGCGCCTGACCGCGAGGGTGTGAATCTAGCTCGGTTTCGGCTGGTTGACGGATTCCACTATGCATTGTCGAGAGCGCCGCCGACGGGGCCTGCCCGTGCCGGGAAGCCTTGGGCGCCGCCTCCCACCTTAGGACTCACGGACAGGCCTTTCGCAGCCAGACACCGGGGCGACATCGATGAAAAGAAACGGCTTGCCTTAATCGTCAAAACAGCTGCGTCCAATGGCCGGGCCGCGCGGGTGGAAATGCGCGCTGGGGCCAGCGATTGGGGCCGGACTCGCAAGCTTAGGATTCACTTTTTCCCCCGTGCAAGGCGGCGTGGGGAACGCGAGCGGGGACTTGGTAGACAGCGACCGTAGAGAGAGCGCTTTGGCAGACCACTTGGAACGGCGCGCAGGGGGGGGCGCGGCCGACGACGGTTGCGCCGGCGGCCCCGCGCAGACTTTCTCCCCATCGGCCGCGGTCGCGTTGCAGAGGAGGGCGCGAGGGAATTTGCCGGCAAATTCAAGCGAGGCAAAGCAGGGGGCCCCGACGACTTCGCTCTTGAGTTTTGGCGGGCGGCGCCCGACGACGGCGCCCCCGCTCTAGCGTGGATCGCTCGCGTCTGCAATCTGGTGTGGGGCATTTGCCATGTGCCCGAGGCTTGGCATGAGTCGATTTAACAACTACAGCCCCATCGGCCTCCCCCCAATCGGTTGCGATATGTTTGCCGTGATAACATCCCGGCGCGCGAGGGGCGCAGGGGCCGAGCGGCGCGTGTGGCAGACGCAAGTCGGTTTAACATCTGGATGTGGCGCATCCGATTGTGCGTTCATCGCGTGGCGAGGTGTAAGAGGAGACGTGGGCGGCGCGCGATGGTGAGCGCATCTTTTTTGGCTCTTGACTGGGCGAAGGCGCTCGACGCGGCGTCGCCAGAGTCGTCGTTCAACGCGTTGCGGAGGTTCGTTTGCCCTGAGAAGTTCGCGCGTGTGTTTTCCAGCGCCCGCGACAATCGCGTCGTCGCTGCGTCGGAATCCGGCGCTGCGTCTGGAGAAGTGGCGCCAGTGTGGAATTTGTCAGAGCTGTCCCTTGTCTCCATTCCTTAGCAATTTGCATGGCGAACCTGCTTCGCGATGCTTGTCGACAGTGGCGCGGGCGACGTGGCGGGGAAGAGCCGGGCGGGGCGGCGAGAGACTTGGCGCGCGCACGCGACGCGCTCCTTGTCGGCAGCGGCCCTGAGGCGATCCAGGAACTCGCGCGCTGCGTCTAGAGCTGCGGGGCGCACTCTGGACCGCCATTCAATTTGAAGAAAGGTTGAAGCAGTGAAGGTCCGGGCCAGCGAGAAAGCGATGAATGGCTTGGCCAGCCCATCGCCAGTGGGGGGTCGAGGATTTACTTGGGTGCAGTCATTGCTGCAGACGGTAGAATGGGCGTTAAATTGGGCGGGGGGATTGGAAATGCAATGCGCGATTTTCAGACCTGCCCACTATTTGGTTTCATTCTTTTTAGGGGGAAGGAGAAGGTGAAGATATTTCACGCGCGCGTGGCGTCGAGGTTGACGCGCGCACTGTTTGGGGCGTGCCTCAACGCGGCAGAACGACCTAGATTGGGCAGTTGTTAGCATGGATGCCGGTGAAGGATTTGCCGGTGCAGCCGTTATTCATCAGCCGGGTGGCCGACGCCGCTGTCGTGAGCATGGCGAACCAGTCTAAATTGAGCGACTGCCTCGCCAGTCCAACTTGCATTCCGACA